AGTATTAGTCTGACTTCCTTTAGAAGATTTTATATTTAAATTAAACATTTATAAACCCCTTTCAAGAAGTCACTCTCATAATTCCTTTCCATTTTGTTGAGCTTCAAGACATAATTAAAGGGGTAGAATATAGCCGCGATTTAGCCGAGACCTCGGTATGCATCCGTAGACTAAGGTACGTACCCGGTACCCGGTACCAAGACGGCTTAGACACTTCCAGCAGTTCGAAAAAAACACCAAGGAAAGTCAGATAAGACTCAATTATACGCAGCAAAAACCATCATGACCAAAAGATAAAACCCTCGCTCGGTTCTAGGTCATGGCCGCCATTGAACTCTCTCCGTTTCAACTTCCGAATATTTAGTGCACACTAGAAAAAAATACAATACATCATCAAATCACATTCGCCCCAATTAATTCCCAAACAACTCAAGCATCAAATGGCGCATTTCTTATCTAGGTCACGTGCTTTATTGCCATATAAGGCGATCTCATTTTCGAACACTCCCTTCGCTGGCGCTAGACAATTACCCTCATTATGGCAACCGCAACGATTACGCCAACAAAGATGGAGTTCACACTCGCCTCTAGGCACAGCGTTGGATCCCTCAAGGAAGAAAGTAACCATGGCAACTCTCCAGTCTATGTATAAAAAGGGGGAGCCTATCGCGGTCATGACTGCTCATGATTTTCCAAGTGCACATGTCGCAGATGCCGCTGGAATGGACGTGATCCTCGTGGGAGATAGTCTAGCGATGGTGGCTTTAGGGATGGAAGATACTAGTGAAGTAACGGTTGAGGACATGCTGTTACATTGTCGGTCGGTAGCTCGTGCTACCAAGGCCGCCTTCACCGTAAGCCCACATGTCAGATTCAGATAAGTACAAGTATAGAAAGCTAAATCTCAACTAGGTTGGAGATCTACCGATGGGGTCGTACGAAATTTCACCGGAACAAGCCCTAGAAACAGCCATCCGATTCATTAAACAGGGTCGTGTGCAGGGTATCAAGTTAGAAGGAGGAGCAGAGATGGCACCAACTATTGCGAAAATAACAAAAGCTGGTATACCCGTCCTCGCCCATGTGGGGCTTACACCCCAACGTCAAGGATCCCTTGGTGGATTTAGAGTCCAAGGGAAAACGTCGAAAGGTGCAATGAAAGTGCTCGAAGACGCGTTAGCCGTCCAAGAGGCTGGGTGCTTCGGTATGGTAATGGAAGCGGTTCCAGCAGAAGTCGCAAGCGCCATAACGCAGAAGCTACGCGTCCCGACGATTGGGATCGGTGCGGGAAATGGTTGTTCTGGTCAAGTCCTCGTCCAGGTCGATATGACCGGTAACTTTCCACCCGGTCGTTTCATTCCCAAGTTCGTCAAACAGTATGGCAATGTGTGGGCTGAAAGCCTTAAGGCCATTGAGTCATATCGAGAGGAGGTGAAAAGCCGTCAATACCCAGCACCAGAGCATACATATCCCATCTCCGCGGGTGAGCTTGAAGCGTTCAGGAGAGACATTGAGAAACTATAGGGCAACATTGGTCGCCTGATTAAATTCTTGCATGATACCATACGAGAAGACGTTAGAGGATTAGAGGTGTGACACTCTGGTTTGGTTCGGTCTGCTGTATTAGCATAGATGGCGTTTGTGGGGCGTAACCGAGACGGCATGATTGTACCAGTCGCACATCTCATCCAAAGGCTGGAGTAATCGAATAAGCTACGATCAACTGATCGTTTGAGTCCTTAAAACACTATTGGAAAAGGTCAGCGCGTTTTATCGATAAATAGAATATTCAATAATAATATTATTATTCAATAATATTACATACTCGATGTAAGTTGCCGACGATCTCATCAAGAGCAGGAGCGAAGACACTGTTTACGTAGAGAAACAAACTATCGTTCGGATTGAGATGCAGCGCCTTGCGCAAATGTGATACGACAGCCTCGAACTTCTGCGCGGCGCTTATCTGGCGCACTTCACGCTTAAGCTGCGGGACAGATCCTCCAACAGCTTTGAAACGAATGCGCACTTTTTCTTTTTCGAATTTGCCAGCGTTAGCAAGAGCCGAGCTTGCATCTTGAGGAAGACCGGTAAGAACGGCTGATGCAGTCATGGTAAGTGGGATTTCAGGTGATGCAGGCCTGTCCGGAATGGGAGAAGCTGGAGGTGATGGAGAGGGTTGTTCGGGAACGTCAGGGTACTCCATCTTATAATATAGGTGCCTAGTAGTTACGTTGATAGAAAGTGGTAGAAACGTGTTTATGTGGATAGACTGATTTATATGCAAGCTTTGGAAGCATGCGAAAACATATAACCATAACAATCATGTAAGAGTGAATAATGAAGTTGATTGTTGAATTTCTGCAGTCACACAGTTGAAGATATGAGATATGAGATATGAGATATGGATGTCCTCTAAGCCACACTTTAGAAACAATGTGGCTTACGTACATCCTACCTGTATCTTAGGTACCTAGGTCCACTACCTCTTAAACCCCTATTTCCACTCACATAATCTATGTCCAACTAAGCTAACTCGGCTTCAACAACACCCTCATATCCCCTAGGATCCATCCAAATCTTGATTACTTTATATCCCGCATCGTTTATGAGCTTCCTCCACTGGGCTTTTGTCCGTTCATAGGCTGAGACGACCGACATCATATTCAGATCCATACCCGCCTGGTAGGCGCTAGCCCCCGTCGGTGGAATTACAACATCACAGATGAGGAGCTTCGAATATCCCTTCTTCATAGCTGGTACGATGTTCTTAAGAATCTGGAGCGACGGCTCGTATGACCAGTCGTGGAAGACGCCGCGGAGAAAGTAGGCGCGACTCCCTGCATTACAACCAGCATCAGCTCTTAAGTTTTATAGCTTTACCTTGTCAATGAAGTTTCAATGCCGGCCTTACCGTGAATTGGCTGAGGCTCGAAGAAGTTATGCGGCATAGGTTTAATCTTGTCTGTGCCGAGTTTTGCGTCTGAGAGAACAGCCTCGAGATCTTGTATAACCAGAGAGCCGGCTGGTACATCCGGGTGTTTCTTCAAGAACGTAAGGATATCGTGGCCGTGATGTCCCCCTATATCAACAACCAACGGCGCACCAGAAGTAAGATCTGCGCCAGCCACAAGTTCAGTAGTATCATAGAAATCAGGCCACGAGATTCTATACTTCGACCACTCCATCATAAAGCCACTGAAGCTGTCCTGGTAGCTTTGATTAGAGAGACATCTATCAAAGAAAGGTAATCGTTCCGGAAAAGTATCAACGTAGTTGCTATTTTTCGGATCTAAGGGTTCTCGATACGACGTCTTCGCTAGAAATGACGGCAAGTTCATAGAAGCAGGGTTCCAATGGTCGGTCCTACAGCAAGTAAGCAGCCGCGCAGAATATTATATAAATGCAATCTTACATAGAAGGAATGGCTTGAGGTATGGTGGTAGACTCATCCCCGCAAGAAAGTGAGAGTTCAGTTGGCTTGTATCGATCTTCTCCGGTTTCTTCAATAATGTACGTGGCCCCTAAGAGCCGCAGTAGTCGGCCTTCGAAGCCGGTTCAGCACTCGGACAGAAAAATCCGCTTGCATATATTAAATTAGGTACTCACGAAGTAGGTTCACATCTATATTCTTCGTAGCCAACTTGACTAACTCCTCGATAGTCTTTTCACCGCCGCCTACTGCCTTCCACTGATGCCACAGGCCAATATCTAGGCATACTCTTATCGCTGCATACTCAGTCGGGTTCCGGAATTCGATATTAAACATCTTTTCATGTCTCGTTTCCAGCCTGCTGACTAGCTTGCGCGCGCTTGCTAGTAGTTTCAACCTTTCTGGCTCGTGGCCTTCGAAGTCAGTGACTGTAAAGGCATCAAGCATATCTATTACCTCGGCATAGTCTTCACTCATGGTGGGATGGATATCTGTGCGGGCTAAAATCTGGTCAGTACCTAAAAAGTTGCTAGTTGTACTACATTTCACACCCAGGAATACCTTGCAGGCAGGCATCTTTTATAATCCAGGTGGCTGCGTATCCCTTCGGCCAGTGTTGCACAGCGTAAACAACCCTTTATGCACGTTGATATCAAAGCACACGTCCATCCACGCCAAGGAAGATGCATCGGCAGTCAGCAGTGAGTACATGCCCATCGTTCTCATCTGAGTTGCCATTTCATAATATATGTATCTTGCGGGAGGGCTATAGAATTTCTCTGATCCAATTCTAGCTTATAGTCAGTTATATCATGTCAGCATTGAGTATGTATAGAGCTACTTCTAACAAAAACCTCACAACATAGCTTTAATTCTATTATATCATGACGTATTGAAAATGTAACGACGTTAGGGCGTACTCTGCTGGGTAGTTGGGGCAACGCCATTCTCTCACGCAGTAATCTCTGACAGACTCTAACGTCGTAAAGTTCCGGCATAATGGAATGTAACTTTTCATGTCATCTATTCTTTAGTGTAAGCAAGTTCAATCTCGATGTAGAGACTTAAGGGGGGCCTGCATAAGAAAGTGCTCAAATGACACGAAACTGTGCAGAGCTAACTATGTAGGTAGGTAGGTAGGGATTTATGGATGCGGATTAGTGGTAACCCCTACCTACTTCCCACACAAATATGTTTGGCTACGGTAAACATTGAGCGAGGTCAGCCCGTTCCTTTTGCGCATAGCCTTAACGTATCTCGGCTCCGAGGTACATGAAGGAGGGTGACGGATGTAACATGTTGGAGTCGGTAGTTAGAGATAACCAACTGCGCCCTCAAGATAATCAATATACTCGGCATACATAACCAACTATTCGAATGTTAGTAATATATCAACCTTGGCATCTTACTTGCACAGCACTTATATCGGAGATAAGTGAGCCAAAAAATAAGACTTGGTTATAAGTGCGAATCATGACTGATCCACACTTTTTTGCAAACACTGCCGAACATTCATGAGAGGCGTATATAATAAATAGACAGACATCACATATGATAACAAAAAGAACTCCGAATCGGGGAATCGAACCCCGGGCTTGACGGATCATATCATATGGAGTATGATGAGAGCGTCAAATGTTAGCCACTACACCAATTCGGATTGCGTGTTGAATGCTAGGACAAGTTATCCATCTGCTGTGAAAATTTTGAAGTGTATTTTCTGATATATCTCTTAGCTGGATTAGCGCGGGCGGAACCCACCTTAGCCGCATCTCTTGGGACCCTTGAAGCTTTCGTATGTGGGTAACAAGTGGATGGATTTAAATTGGGGAGGTAAAAAGCAACAACTATAAATGTGGATAGTCGTGGGGGTAAATAATATACCTACCTGATATAGCAGTGCGACGAAATCCAGGTAGTTAGCGTATAAGAACAACAAACGGGAAAGTATATTCATTTTATATATTTGACCTTACTCCAACATTACGCTAGTTGCATCTTATACGAAGGAAAATAATTCTTATGGATAATTCATGTTAAGGAGAATAGCGTATTGAAGTCATTGAAACGGTAACTAAGAGGCTATCACGTCAAGAAATGGCCTAGTTAGCCAACCGATATTTGAGATTTTTAGATTCGCATAATTCCTCGTCTTAGACTACTACCTATATATACACGACCTAGTGACCATATCTACACCGTTCGCTTCGTTCATGTCGAATACTATCGTGTTTAATGTCGTTCCAGCCTCCCAGTCAGGTTGTCATCCAGTACCATTTCATACCGGAATCCCTAGACATACCCGTGAAGGCTGGCACTTGGGTCGCTTGACCAACTAAAATTTTTCAACGGTGAAAGAGAAAGCAAAACCGTCCTTCGCCGAAAATGCATAGGAATAGAGATATTTGGCGACAGGTCAAGAAAAGAAAAACCATATGCTAAGACTCCATTTCATGCCATACCATGCCCCTTCCATGGGATATATGGAAAGATGTATTAAGCTCCATCGTTCTAGCCGAATAAGGGTCAAAAATGGGTATCATCGCACCGCGAATGCCGAAGAAAAGACGGTCCAAAATTAGAAAGTAGGATCATAGTATGGTGTATTCCTAGTTATGAATGATCGGCTAATAAGCACAGCTTATAGAACTGTGGAGTATCGGGGGTCGATCTGCCTTTGGCTAACAGAAATGAGCAAGCCCGTAGTAGATTAATAGGTCTCCTCGTATTCTTGGAGAGAAGGAGCCCAGGACGAGAAAGATTTGCGCTTAGGCATACGTTGAAGCTGGACAAGGAGATCATCCAAGTCAACCCAGTTGCGATCATCCTCAGCAAATTTGCGATGCTTCTTGGATAGGATGTGCTATACGAATTGTTAGTACTGACCGCATCAGGGTTATTCAACCTTAGGAAGGGGGCACATACCTCATCAAAATCAGCGTATTTCTCAGCGCAATTCTCACAGTAACCTGGTTTAAGCTCGCTTTTCTTCGGCTGAGCTAACTCTCGCTTTGCTGCGCGCGGAACGGCCTTGGACCTGGGTCCTTCTTGACTATCTTTGTCAGTCGCATCTTCATCGACGAAGTCTAGCTTCCGGCTCGACGTGCGGCTCATGGGGAAAGCCCGCTTGACCGGGACTTCATCTCGAGGGTTGGTCTCGGTGTTTCGGCGAGAGCTCAGATCTTGCGAAGTCGCAGTACTGTTGCGCTTTAGGACTTGACGCTGAAGACCATGAACTTCTTTGCTTAGGCCAGTTATGAGACCTGGTGTTGTCGCTGTAGAGGAAATCATTTGTGATCGAATCGCTGACGTCACATTCGAAGGCTGAACTCCGGACGCAACTGGCTCACCACCGAAGAGGCGGGTAGCAGCACGGCCGGTAAACGCGTTGGATCGTGATCCCAAGATCTGATCAGCTGGTAATCTAGATGAGTTGGATAGGTCCACGGAGGCAGTGCTAGAGCCACGGCGATGGCCATTTTCCATCTCACCCAATGATCGCTTTCCAGTTACGGGCTTCGGCGGTTCCATCTTGAAGGACTGAGGAGCAGGTTTACTCTCAGTAGCGGCTCTGGTCACCTGGACTTTCGGCTTGGGCTCGGGTCGGGAATCTCTCGGCTCATGCTCGTTAATAAACGGGCACCGTCCCAGTGCGGCTGTTCGGAATTGGGGCCAATCACCCTTTGCCTTCTCGGCAACTTTCTTGTACTCTCTGACCATAATGGGCTTTTGCTTCTCATCGACATCATACACATATATATACGGACCCTTAAAGTAATGCAACTCCTGACCGTTCACGGTGGGGTCTCGGTCGGATGGCCCATTAACTCGCTCGTTGTGGAGGAGATGTAGCAGGTTGCGATCCTCAGTCGTCCGAGATTCGGGCTCTCTCGCTTTGCGAGCTCCGTACGCAATTTCCACACTGACGTATGGATCAGTCTCAAGGAGTAAAGCAATCATTCGCTGCAACTTGTCCAACGACCAGATCTTCTTTCCCATTTCCCTCGCGCGTAACAAGACATCGGTGCTACGCTTTGGTTGGTTGAGTGAACCGACTTGACTATGAGATGTAATTCTCTGTGTCCTGGCATCCCTGTCAAAAGTTCTTCGCTTCGTGGAAGCCTCTGTAAGCCGGGTTAAAAGTGAAGGATTAATAGTCTTGACTTCCTCTTGTTGTTCCTGGTCTTGCTCTGGCTCCTGCTCTTGTACATGGTCTTGGTGCTTCTCGGTGGTCACGTCTTCCTCTTGACGGCTTACGCTCTTCTCGGAAGGGATAGGCCGGGTCGTAACAACGTGCGTGATGTCAATGGAAAAAAATGCTGCTTCACGCTATAAAACAACTCATGTAAGCAAACCGAGGCAATCGACACGGAAGAATTGATTTACTCACAGCACCTAAAGCGGCTATTTGCTTAGCGAGTTTTTTGTGAGCCTCATTAGGAACCTTCTCAAAGTAGAATACGAGCTTAGGGAACCTAGCCCTATGATGTTGCTGCCATATTTGAATTTCTTCAATATCTTTCTCTGTATATCCAAGAGAAGCGGGCGCGGGCTGCTGAGATCGCTGATGGTGAGAATGACCACTTCTCTCCCTGGCTAACTTGCTCTCATAGGTGTTTGCATTGCGGCGTATCTGTATGGGGATTTGACTCTTGGACGCCCGCTGTTGTTGGGACGAAAGCAAACGCTGGGTACCACTCTCAATAATTTGCTTCTTGGCTGGAGGTGGTTGGCCATATTGTTCTTCCCGTTGTAATTGAGCTGCGGTGCGTTTTTGCTTGGCGAGAGCGTTGCTACGCAGAGGGGAATTGGCCACATTCTGGTTCGTAGATAGAGGAACTCGTCTACTAGACATGACTGATTGAGAGGCAGAGGTGGATGATAAAGATATGGCTGCCATATAAATATCGAACTACTCAATGTTGAAGGGTTAAGACCGTTTGCAACTCGAGACTACCTGACCAATGAATTTTTTAATGTTGATATAGCTGTGGCTGGCTTGTCTTGGCGACTTGGTCAACAACGTCAATAGTGGAATCGAGTCCCGGAATAATAAAAGCTGACTCGTTATCGTTCGATCGGGTTCGACGTAAAGAAGGACGGTTGCTCTATAGTTGTGCTTAAGGTATTGTCCTAAACTATGTTTTTAAAAGTCCGAGAGTTGGCACGCGACGAACCGCGGGCACAACACGTTGGATTTGAAGAGCACAACACGACCAAAAATCTTGATGTTAGGAGTTCATTGAGGCGAATTGGTGAATATTAAATGATTTCAGAAAATTGAGTAAATTGAGAGACGCGAAAATGACCCCGTAATCTTACGTGTAAAAGGCGTTGAAGTCGAGTCCAAGTTAGAAAGCTCTGGTTGGTACGAAGGTAGTGGGCAATTTTGGTAGGTAGAATTCAATGTCCCCAAGCTTTTTGAGGCGTGACTGGTAATTTCACGCTAGTACTAACAATTTACGAATCAACAACAAGGGCTACGCACAGACCATTTGACATCACTACTGAACGCACTGAACACGCTGAACACTAATGAGGACCCCACTATGGAATCTGCATAGCAACCAAATCTTAGTAAATTTATTTACATCTCTTGCATTTTCTCTTGCATCTTTTTTTTCAGCTAGCCCCACCAGCTCCCCCACCATGTTTTAAGGCAGAAGAGCCCAAATTGAACCAATTAGAATTTAGGTAATCAATGCCCTATCATTGCTCCAAAAACTTTCCAACGCTGCTGACGTTCGATCCAATGCGCCTCAAACCTCCGAATTGCAACATCAAAATTGGTATGAAATACACCAAGTGATTTTTTTCAACTTTGGAGTTCATAGAAAAGTGTCTTTTTTTTCTAGACCAACTCATTTTTTTTGGATTCTAGTGAAAGGAATTCATAATTGAACTTTAATAATTTTTATATTACCCGTTTAGGTAATACCTTAGTGAATTCTGGCGATGCAATTGGTTGCAGTATCTCAACGAAGATGAAGCTTCGCCAACAGCCATTATGGCAACTCGAGCGTTATCTTAAACCGCACTCGAAGCCTTTTTCCCCACAGATCCGATATGCACGGCCTATATCAACAATACCCTCTTCCCCGCGAATCTCGAACACGTCACTCAAGTCTACAGCCTTACGATGTAGGCCAAGATCTGTTCGCACTTATTCCACAGCCGTTTCTGCGTCCGACCTCCTCTTCGGCCAACCTGTTCACGAAACTCACCCACATATACTTGCACCCGGTGAACTCACACCGGGTATAACCGCACAGGAATATCACGATCGCCGTGCCGCCCTTTGCCATTCCTTGCCCCCAAACTCCGCTGTCATTCTCCCCGCAGCAACCCTCAAATACCGATCCGGTGCCGTTTTCTTTGCCTTTCGCCAGGAGTCTAATTTCCTGTATCTCACTGGTTTTTCCGAACCCGATTCTCTCGCCGTACTAAAGAGGACTGGCGATGAGCTCGGCGACTACACTTTCCACTTATACTGCAGGTCGAAAGATCCAAAAGCAGAGCAATGGAACGGCCCTTGGAGTGGAGTTGACGCCGCAAGAGATGTGTGGAATGCAGACGAAGCTGATGATATCACACGAGTGGATAGAACACTTGGTTCGGTGCTGGATGGCACCAAGACAATATACACCGATGCCGAACTGT